TATTATAAAACCAGACGTACTTCGGCACCTTATTTAAAAATTATTAAAACTAGCATGAGCAGGAGCAAAATGAATGAAATGCCGCCAGGCCTGTGAAAATAGCCGATGAATTTTACTTCGGAGCCCTCTTTGAATTTCGTCATCATGTATTTAACTATTCTTCAGCTCAGGTTTGCGCTGGGCATTTCTAAATTTGGGCCCACAAGATGAAATTCACAAACGTTACCTAAAGACGGCTAGGTACAGGAAGACGGAACAAAAGCTTCGTTAGCAACTTATGCGGGCTGCTTTGGTGCGTGTAACCACGAACAATGCATTAGTTTCATTCACGTTTTTCGTGGCTTTCGTTTATAACAGACCTGGTGGCAAATTAAGTCTCTGTCGAATAACACTAGCATGAAAAGAGCTTCACAATATCAGCTTCCATGTTTGGATGCTACTTCATTCAGCAAACGCACGCGCCGCTATACGGAAACATAATCTGACGCGGAAATCATCGATGCGTGAGACAAAAGTCAATCGCAATAGGACAGACGCTAAATGTTATTCCCATGATAAGGAAACAAACGCAAGTAAACCAGTTTGTGAGCTTCCGCGTGGCCTAAGTATAGCATAATCCCACGATTCTTTTGAGGTATTGCTCGTTACAGCACGAATCCAGTAAAGTATGAAATTGTTCCAGATCTGCTCACTTTTTAAATCGGCTGGGTGAGGGGGCTGAGCCGACCAGATCGATCCAGGGGTCCATAGTTTCGCAAACTGAGCTGGGGAGGGGGGAGGCTGAACCGTGCAAAATCATGAAACCTACCCCAAAATTATCCAATAGTGGTTTTCACCCCGGCCATTTTCCCTCAATGCTGTGGGCTTCACCCCCAACTGAATAGGAAGCTAACCGTGAGTTGGCCTGAACGATCCCCATAACCCGATTTCTTCCTGGAATTCGTTCACTTTTTAAAATCGGCTGGGGGGATGATTGGTGCCCCCGATGTTAAAACACACTTTCTTAATAAACAACGCGACCAGCTCTTTCATACGTGTCGGAAGTTGATGTAAGCAAGGAAAGCCATGCACCTTGGTGCTTCGGGGTGATGGTTGGGGGCTCTCGTGTTGAAAATAATCGACCTTCAGTATACCAGGAGCCAGGAGGTGGTGGTTAAATGGACACAACACAACACAATGGACAAAACGTGTGAATTTTATTCCTCGACCCTCGTTTTCTGGCACAACCAGGTGGAATATACACCACCGAATCGTATTTAAAATTGTCCCGCTCCGTAATGTGCTTTAGCCGGTTTCAATACTTCACCTGGTTAGAGCACCTCTCTTCCGATTCAAAGGCCTGAGGCGTGGTGGTGCGAGTCGCTTCAGCCGTTCGCTATTTGTCATCGACTGCGATAGCCCGCGGCCGGTGACGGTGGCGGCGCCAACGGTCAGGTGACGTCAGAGGGCGGGGCGCACCGTGCCGAGCATTGCGGCACGGTAAGCTTTCATCGCGAAGTTCTGCCGTTGACCAAGGATTTCACGATCGGATCAGGGGTCATCACACCTCTGCTCAGCATGGGTGTCCATCTCGGAAATACAACCAACCAAAGGGTTCGTCGCACAAAATATGTACGAAGACTTATGGTCGCCCCAATCCTGCTGCATTACAATGCCGCACACCCACGTCTACTAAAAAGCGACCCTTACATCATTAATGGGGAGAGCAGTGAGTACATATTTTTTTATTCTCAGTCGTGCGAACGTAAACGTGCTTAAGTATCCTTTCTTTTCCGCGCAAACGCATACACGGAGCATTGGGTAAGGTCTCCCGATTGTGCCGCAAACTCTCGGAGCATTGTGTGATGTCTCCCGATTATGCCGCAGGTTCCCGGTTCAGGAATGCATCACGTTGGCATAGAAGTCATATCAGGGTGAATAAAAGACTGTCTCTGTAAAAACATTGTTGATACCAGGTGGCCCAGGTAGTTGCTAACTTACATTTTACTCGGCAGGCAAGTCCATTTCTTGCACAATTAAGACCGGGGTGGAAATCGAATGACCACTGAATGGCAAAACGCGATAAAAAACAACAATGGTGCATGGTCAAGAGTTATCATTAGTTTCACGTTCATAAAACATGACTGGACGGAAAAAGCCTCTTTGAGGACGAGAACAAATGTCTGTGTATATCAATTTCTGTCAAGACCACCTCAGAGCGTTACATCGTTACCGCCCTGGGACCCTGATGGGGCCCGGGGCGACTTCACGGGATCGAATGGGACGGGGAGTGGCCCCAGCTGCACGGTGGGACACCGCACACCGCACGAGCCTCAGTGGTTTGGCTGGAGAAGCGTTTCTACGGAATGCACATCAATTTAAGCTGTCATGCTGTGCTTCTCATTCGTTTGACTTGTCGCTCCCGGGCCTCATGCTCTGGGGCAACCTCAAGAATCGCGTCTATGAAGACAGGTCAGCGGACCTCCAAAAGTTCAATGCCACCTTCATCGCTGTGGGCATCACCGTGGATAATCACCCGGACGATCGGCTGCCTTGAGCAAGTTCAGCTTTGCGTACATCCTGGACAACCAGGGGCCATCTGGAACACCTATGCGCTCAAGGGCTCAGAGAAGCATTGAGGGGGGAGGGGGGAGGGGGGGGGGAGGGGCTCAGACCCCGAAAGAATATTAAGCGACGCAACTGTCTGTTAAGACAGGCCTAAAAGTACGCAAAAACATAAGGTATTTGAAACGCTGAAATTAACAAATGAAACTGCTCCCCATGGCGGATTGATTTCATTCATGCGTTTGCTACTGTTGGTTTAATTATTCCTGACCGTCCATCTACACACACACTTGCTCGCATCACATCCCTGCACCCACTGGGCCACAGCCGTTGGTGCTCGCACCACACCACTGCACCCACTGGGCCACAGTCGTTGGTCTACGCGCCGGCGCGTTCGTCCGTTTTAAACGGGCGTTGGTGCGTTAAATCGTGCGTGACGCTAATCATGTTTTGTTCAGGAACGCCACACTTTATAAAACAGCCCCATATAAAACAGCCTGGTATACACCATGCCTTTACATATAAAACGGTAAAACAGCCTCATACACAACATGCCTTTTCCACACAGAACAAAAGACAAACACAAAAAGCCTTTGCGGTCCCTGGCTCTCCCGGCCGCCCGTGGTCATGTCCTAGTCCTAGCAATCGCGGTCCAGTTGAGCTCCGGTCGTTTCAGGGGCATCCACCTCGAGAAGACAATGTAAAGACCATAGTGCGGCCGGCAGCAGCTGCAGTCAGGACCATCTGGACATGGCGATCGCTCCTGGCAGTGTCTCAGCTCTCCGGCAATTTCGAGCCACCTGGATGACTGCGAACCGCCAGCTCTCTCAGGACATTACGGCCACACCATAAATATTGAGCAGAGACGTTCGGTGAACTGGGCCGTCTGACGGGGTCACGATCTATAACAGCCGTCTCCGACCATTTTCTGTGACCATAAACCTCGCCGTCTCGACCACCTTTTGACGTGACGCGGGCCCTTATCGTCGTGGGTCAATCAATCATTGAGGGGCTGGGTAGGTGGAGTTATCGGCCATTCTGTGCCTCTCTCAATCCTGAGACATACTGGATGCTGCCAGTCCTGAGTCTGTGATCGATCGGAGAAAGAACAGCGTTTACTCGCGTTTGGAGGCAACCGAACAGTTGAATTTGGGGGCTGGTTACGCGAATCCTTGTCTGGAATCGGGTACATCGTTGAGATCTTACAGCTCAAAATTCCTTGTAACGTCTCCGCTTGTGAGCTCTTTTGACCCTTGATCTTTGGAGGTTAGACAGCAAAATGTGCCCTGCATGTTAACATTTCGGTGGTACATTCTCCTGACATATAAACGTGTAACGTGTATAAACGTTCAGGCCGATCAAAAAGTACCTCTGCACGACGTTGAGACCTGAACACGAATGCATCGCTGTTATCATGGGCCTCATCCGACATTATGGATCTGCAAGTGAATCAACGAATATGAAGATCAAAGTCAAGTAACAGCGAAATTGTTGGCACCTGCCCTCCTCACATTACCTTGTTTTCACATTTCACTCCATATAGGTACCACGGTACGACGAGAAATGAACAATTTTGCTCATTTATAAATTTAATGTAAACATTACACATGATTTCCACTTTTTTACAAATAAATATACACTTCACAAATAGGCATTACATATGGATGTTCAGGCACGTTGACTTTGACGAATATGGCACGGGTACTGAACCTGGGAAATATGTTTAAATTTGTCTTCCGGCTTGTAGCGCGACTCGCGGTGGTCGTGTTTCAGCTTTGCTCCGTTTCTGTCTTGGTTTTTTTGTCGTGAGGCAATGTGGTGGTGGTATTTTTGCTGAGATTCTATTGCACATTGCCCAGGTAGCGTTCACTGTATTCCGTCTCGCCTGTCTTCATTTTAACGCAGTTATTAGTATATAGGCCTTCGGCGTCCCCGTGCTCGCGCCATAATTCAGGCTCCGCCCCTTCCCGTCGCCGGGAGTGCTGCCACCTGCCAGCCGCTGTAAGAACGACGGGGCGGGTAGCTGATCCGCACTTGTGCTCACGACAGCTTAATGTATGTCGAAATTTTGTCACTTAGTTTTAAGTCGTTGTAATAACTAGTAATAAGTTAATTTAAGTCAAGTTAATGTTGAGGCTCAAAGATGTCATCAACATCCCCCGGTGATCGGCCCGGCGAGGGGCCTGTATATCCCCCTCCACTTCCTCTCCGGAGGGGCCGAGCCTCGTGCTCATCAAAAACGTCAACGGGAAAAGTGTCCGCACGACGGACCCTTTCGCCATCCGTCGGGAACTTGAACTCCACGCCGACGAGGTGGATGAAGCCAAACCGCTCCGCTCGGGAGCCCCCCTAGTTAGGATTTTTCGGGGCGTCAGGCAGAGGCCCTGCTCAAATTGAGCAGTTTTCCGGGGCGGGCGGTCGCAGCCACCATCGCAGACCGCCTGAACACCATCCAGGCGGTCGTTTGCAGCCCGGAGCTCACCAAGCTGCCGGATGACGAGATACCGGAGGAGCTGACCGAGCAGGGGGTGTGCGAGGTTATGCGCCTGCCCTCCCGCCGTCACGGCCTCGGCCCCAGCCCACTGGTCCGCCTGCGATTTTGGGGACTAAAGCCCCCACGTGCCATCCACTGCGGATGCCTCATGGCCCCGGTAAAGGCCTGGGTCCCTCCTCCCCAGCAGTGCCGCACGTGCCAAGCAGTGCCGCACGCGTCTGGTGCGGAGTACGATCGAGTCCGAGCCAGCCGACCCAGTTACGGCGAACCCGGTGGCTGCGAGCCTCCATGAGCAGGGACCCGCCCCACCAAACTCGGAGAGCCTCTCTCCCACCCCAGCACGTCGATGTTGGTCCACCCCATCCGTACCGGCGTCCCAAGAACCGGCGCCCCGTCCGATGCCCCAGCCGCCGTGCCCCCGACGCCAACCTCCCGGGCCAGTTCCTCACTTGAACGCCGAGCCTGACCCGTTACGCGCTCCCGCCGTCGCGCCCCTCGATCGCTCTCTCACTGCCGCTCCGCTGGATGGTCTCCCTCCCTGCCTTAAATGAATCCCCATAATTCTTGCCCCAATGGAATACGAGATCTTTGGCATCCCATTGCCAGAATTCAAGGAATGTATGATAAAAAACAAACCATTGATAGCCGCCGTTCAAGGGACCCTATTTAACGACTCGGATTACTTTAATTACAGCTTTAAGATCAACGGTTACTGCCTCTACACACATAACGTAAACGAAACCCCGCGCCGAGGCGGTTCGGCTTCGTTTGTCTCAAATAACCTTTTGCATCGTCAAGTGCATTTTAATACTCATTTCAATTCAGTTGCAATAAACGTAGAATTAGCACAGTTAGATCTTACTCTTCTTTCTATATACCTTGGCCCCACTAACCCTGTCCTCTCAGCTGATTTCTTCGCCTTACTCGCACAAATTCCCTCGCCCTGTCTTCTTGGGGATCTGAACGCCCGTCATCGCGCATGGAGTTGTAGCACAACACAAGCAAGGGGGAGAGTTTTACACACACTCATGGACACTCACGACCTCATATGTATCAACGGACTGACACCTACGCATGCACATCACCACGGAGGCACAGTGGCATACTCTGTTACAGATCTGGCCTTGACAACACCACGCATAACACCACTCTTTACGCATAATGTTCAACCGGACCTGCTTTTTAGTGACCACTACCCAATCCACATAAATTTAGAGTTCCCATCAGGGCAAAAAAACTAATTTTCTTCCCCGATGGGGTGTTCTCAGCGCGGGCTGGGCATTTTTCCAAAATTATATAGATGATGCACACCCTCCAGGCACGACTCCCGACCTCCTTACATTTCTAAACAATATTTTAGCCTCAGCGCGCCAGTACGTTCCACACACAGGGTGTTCCTTGAGTCAAATCACCTTCTTTCACCTTTTCAGAACGGCTTTCGTCCCGGCCGCCCTACGGCGGACAGCCTGGTCCACATTATGGATTCAATTCAGTTCGGAATTCAGACTAAATCAAGTACGGTAGCACTATTCGTGGATTTAAAAGCTGCTTTCAACAGGGTAAATACAGGTGTCCTCCTCATTAAACTCCATGAAATTGGAGTTCCCGGCCGGCTCGCCGCTTTCATTAAAAACTTCCTTACTGATAGGACGTTCTCTGAACATTGCGGAAATATTCATTCTTCTCCGACGGCGCAGGATCACGGTCTTCCTCAGGGCAGTGTCTTGTCTCCAACCCTGTTCCTTGTGATGATCAATGATGTTTTCAATAACGTTAATAATATTTATCCACATTTTCATTATTCTTATATATACGCGGACGACCTGGCTGTTTGGCATACGCATGCTAATGTCAGTCACGCACTGCATTCTATACAATTAGCTGTAAATGACATTCATGCGTGGTGTGTACGGTGGGGACTGCAGATTTCACCCGCAGAGTCGGCTGCAATTATCTTCTCTAGGCAAAATAATGCTCAACCTCCCGCCCCCTGAATCTTGGTGGTGAAATAATTCCTCTAGTTCACAGTTTTAAATACCTTGGAATAACATTAGATCATCGTCCTACTTGCAATGTTCATTTTGCTGACCTTAACCAACGCTGCGCCGACGATTGAACATATTGAAATGCATAGCAGGGCGGGAGTGGGGCGCTGACAGACCCCCGTTCCTCCGCCTCTATACCTCCCTGATGCGCCTGATCTTGGAATACAGCGGCTTTGCTTTTGATGACATTTATTCCAAAAAAGTCGAAACCCTGGAGACCATCCAGAACGCAGCCCTCCGCATAGTGACTGGTGCACTTCGCACCTCCCCGGTCCCAAATCTGCTCGCGGACACAAATATCCCCTCCCTACCACACCGACGAAAATTGCACCTTCTCAGATTTTACGCACGCGCCACAGCACACGTTGGTAACCCAACATACAACACCCTCGCACACTTCCGCCCCAACCGCACACTTACCAACGCGGAACTCCAGCATCCAACCATCAGTACTCGCGTTATTCGAACGCAGCGAGCGCTCAATCTCCCGGACATTCCCTGCAACCCAACTCCCAGTCCCCGACGCTATTGTGGCGACCATATACCTAATGTAATCTAGTTCTGTTTAAACACAAAAAACGAGACGTATCAGAAACCAAAGTCCAAGCACTGTTTGCTGAGCTCAAAGGAAAACATGACCAGCACGTCTTTATTTATACTGACGGCTCCCGATGCCATGGTCGCACAGGAGCTGCCTTCGTACATCATAATTACCACAAATCAAACCGCCTGTCAAATTACAATACTGTGTATACGGCTGAACTAACAGCAATCCTGGCAGCCCTGCTCTACATCAAGCAGGGTAATCTACAAAGCGCAGTCATATGCAACGACTTTCATTCGTCGTTACAAGCTCTCATCACTTCATAATTCATCTCATCCAACCTTAAACGACATACGACGAACGCTCTGCTCCCTTCCTCAACAAACTCACGTTAATTTCTCTGGATACCTAGACACGTAAATATTCATAGAAACAGCAATGCTGACGAAGAAGCAAAACGAAGTCTCATGCTTCCGGAACGTAATCACCTTCATTGTCCGGTTTCTGATATTCTAGCAGTCATCAATTTACACTTCCGTCTCTTTCACCAATCCGAGTGGGATCAACGCGCTCATCACCACCAGTACCCAGTCAAACCCACTGACAATGTATCAAGATAATCGCCTCAGGGAAGTGCTGCTTGCCAGACTGCGTATCGGTCACACCAAAATCACCTGCTACCACCGTTTCGAACACACTCCTCTGCTGCCATCGCTGCGAGATCCCACTCACAATAAATCGCTTACTCCTCATGTGTCCGGTATATCAACGATCAAAGCAGCCGCTCATCAATTACACCAACGCTTATCGGCTTCCATTCAACCTCCATTCTCTCCTCGGTGATTCTTATCCTGATTTGATCATTTTGCTCTTTGAGTTTTTACACAGCACAGGATTAGATACCATCATTTAAACAAAGGGTTTATTCCTGCATAATTTGGCAGAGATTGCAGGGTTTTCGCTATTTGCTATAGGAGTCGCTATAGGAGTCCTGGTTCTTCTTAGTTAGGACTTTCCAGGACTCAGTAACATCACACAGCACAAGGTCGTGCCGGGCAGCGGAGCCCGGGACTGATCTCCCCGTTGCTGCGTTGAAGCGACCCGGCATCCATCCATCGCACAGGTCGCCGACAAGTCAGCTGAGCTAAGGCCACCGCTGACAAGGACACCCCACACAAGACTCGCGGCACCCTAGGAGTAAGGCAGAAGGACCGGTAAGGAGGCTCACTTGTCGTTCAAACGTACTGAATGCGTTGTGTCGTCATGAAATAAATATATCTACTGCTGCGGTCTGCTTTACTTGCTATGATCTTGCTGGGCAAAAATGAGCCGGGTTAATGTAGCGTCAATTCAAAATATCCTTCCCTTTGCACCGAACAGCATAAGCCGGCTTAACGTAATCGTTGCCTGGCCGTATGCCGGAAGTAAATTCCCCCCCCCCCCATCGGAGGTGACTTTAAGTCTGTCGAGGGGAAAATGAGGCCTTGCATTGGTCCAGCAAAAACGAAGTGTTTAAGTAGGGCTTATTTGTGGAAGCGGATCGTTGTATTCATTTGTCTTTAGAAGGCTTTAAATACAAAATGTACAATATCTATTCATATAGCATTGAAGTGAAGATGTAGAACAGGATTCCTACCCAGATCATTGGCGACATTTCAATTCGTGATCATGTTACTAGTATCTACCAACCTTTGCGTACTTTCAACCAAAAACCATTCTACGGGCTACCAAAATTTAGGCCTCTTGTGACGTCACGCCTGCGTAGTCCCCTCTGGTACCTTTGGATACAGTCAGCAACTAGCGCACCGGATCCTGGCTGCGACAGATATTTACTGACCACATCTTGGTGCGATCTTTTCGTCTGCCGTACTACAGTGTCTGAAACTTGGGTCTTAGTGTTTTTAGCTCCAATACATTTTGCTCTCCACAAATACACACTGGACATAATGTAAAAAATTGTTCTCTGTGAGGGACGTCGGATGAAGGCAACCTGTTTCTGCAACTTCAACAGCATCGTGCACCACACTCACGACTGAACGAGGGACACTGCTTGCGAGTTACGGCCGAATCTCTCTACCATATCACACACAATCTTCCCTTGCAATGCGTTCAGTGTCCAGGTATGTTGCTGCTCACCAGCACATGTTTAATCCACCTACCGTCCAACGACACCGATGCGCTCACATACCGGACCCGAGCCCGCACCCAAAACAACAAATGTCTTTTGACGGATCAGGGAGGAGCGCGGAGAATATCTCTTACGCCGTAGTATTGAACGTTTCTGGATTACACGTAGAAAGCATTGCCACGCAAGAAAATGTGATACGAAAGTACATGATGTCATAATGACATGTACCTCAAAATATAGTGTCAATACTCCTAGATTGAAGAATAAATGATTTCTATTCTTTTTATATAAAATTTCATCAAAGTACCATTTAAAACTATCAAAAAATGTTATTATATAGAACGAATGATATAAACGTCAAATACCATCCCAAACACTCTCTTGGGCACGCGGAAAACCACGACTCTGCGAGTCTCCGACCCTTGGGGAGGATTTAGCATTGGAGAGAAGGCATATTTTCTACGAATAAATCCGAGCTGAATACGCGATGGAAATGCATAAAAGGGTCATTAAACAAAAGTATGGAATTTTTTCTATCGGTCTACAGAGCGTCGCCACAAAATCATGACCTGAGTATAAAGCTAAAGCAGGGTTTCTTATTCTCCGTTGAACATAACTATTACTGGTGTGTTTATTTGACTTTTTAGGTTTTTTGAGATTTCACCTTTATTTTAGCCAGGTTTTACCGGCCATTATTTTTAACAAAATAGGAAAGTTCCTAAAAAGCAATAGTAAAACCGATTAATAGCGTACAGCGGCTCTGTCGTTGAAGACTGATCTTGCTTGCGCGCCAGTTATGTATCCAACCGACCTTGTTTTGGAGGAGCCGCACGAGGGGCGGTGGTGGGGCGGCTGGGTGGTGTGGATAAAGCAATACATAAATTTAGCTCATTGTCATACACTGCGAAAAGTATTGTTTCAGACTCAACGCTGGTAAGTAGATGCAGTGATGCTAACTTTACGCGGCTGGATTGCTCTGTGAGGAGGAAATTATTCCTCCGCCCCTGCTGCATTGGCCTCCGAGCCCCGATCACGCAGCAGCCCGACGTCCCAGGTGGTGTAGTTTTGCACATAACTTTGTGGAGCGGGCGAGCAGAGAAATCTCGTATCCCTAAGGAATGGTGCAAACCATGTTCTACCTGATTTTGACCAAGTTTTTTTTCCTCAGTTGGGGAGTGCCATCCTATCCAAGTAAATAGGAAACTACACACTTGTTCTCAAATTAAGTACATCTAGCTCAATAAAAGCCTAGGCAGGTATCACATGACCCCAGAATCTTTCCTCTGGGTGAGAAAGATTGCACATTAGCTAGAATGTAACTGCACTAATTACTATGCCCCAGATGCTCCTATTTACATTGTGGCTTGCATGATATTTCAATCATAAACATAGCATTATGTGCTCCAGGGAATGGTGCAACTGGTGCACAAAATGTTGAGCATCTGCTTCTATCAGCCTGTATTGGGACTGACACCTTTACAGAAGAATTATCAATATCAGCAATTTTCTATCAGCTCAGCTTAAAAAATATGGTAGGTGCAAGCATAGACAGAAAGGAAGCACTTACTTAGGAAGCTAGAAAATTTTAAAATTGCAAGTATCCAGTTTCTAATGGTCTTTGGCAATCACTGAGACCAGCTAGAGCATGTTGTTTACCATCATCTGCTGCCAAAGAATGTCCTTTAGTGCCAGCTGTGAATGCAGTGCAAACTCCCTTGGGCCATTTTTTCTCACTACAAGCTGCAATTTTAATATTTTTGTTCTCTCCTCCAAGAACCAAAACCCAATTTCCAATACTGCTGTAATATCTATAGGGATCATGAACTTGTATTTGGCATCTACACAGCATTGTTGGGGATATGACGGCTGTAGTTTGAACAGGTAGGCATGGTCAGAATATTATACTGAACACTGCACCATAAAAGAGCAATTTCATTTTTGCTAGTTCACTTAAACTGGTTATAGTGAGCTGATTGATAACCATCAAGACACATATTTAACAGACAGACATTTACTCATGCTTTGGTTTGGGCAGTAACATTGTAGACTGCTGTGACAGGTGTCAACATGCAATGCTCACCGGATGTTGGTTATCATAGACATACTACCCTAAAGCCAATATTTGCAGAATGATTGTTGTTGGAGTATAACTGAGATGCTTGCTAGCAGGTTCTCATGTCTCATGGCTCTCTCATGGTTCTCAAGTTTTTCTAAGTTGGCACAGTGATAGGTTTTTATAGGCATGGCTATTATATCACCAACCACATCTCTGTCAGCTATGCTGAACAATGCATGTAAAATTGCAACCATTGCTAAAAATGAATATGACATTACCTGCCTATTACACACAGTCATGCTTATTATTTATATGCCCTCTGATTTCTTGCCTTATGTGGTTTACATTATTCCTGACATTTTTGTTGCAATGGTAATGCTGCATGCATCTTGTTTATTTAGTGCTCTGGATAGATCAAATCAGGGCTGCTTAGTACAGGCATGCATGCAGTACACTGCTAAGATTGAAGGTTTGTAAGTCTTGAGGCAATAAAATCACCCAGGGTCAAGTTCCTCAGGTTTTAGCTCTGTTTGCCTTTGGAGCTATATGCCACCAGTTGGTCTAAATAGGTTTTGGTTGTCCATCTTGGTGCAGAAAGCTGAGGTCATCAAGTCGTGCCCAATTGTTTGAGTGCATTATGCCCCCACTCTGACAAGGTGGTCAGGCATTACTAATTTATGGGTTGCAGGCAGGGGGGCAGGGTCCCCTGCCTCTTGGCCCTCATTCTGACCAAAAACAGCTTACAAACAAAGGCAAAAGTTGTCCTAATGCATTCTAATCAAGCTCTGTCTCTCAAAATCCTTATTCTGACATAACACCTTGATATGTGCTCATGTCCAGCATGTACCACAAAACTATGTTGTGGTCTGTTCAGATGTTTAAGCAGAAACAAGTCACAGACATATAGAGTGGAAAGATGCTGTGGAATGTGCCATCAGCTGGGAACTTCAACTTTTGTTGCAGATGTGTCATAAGATGTCACTCCAGCACACCTCAGGCAAAGCAAAAGGACTGGTCAAGGATGGAAGTATGCATTCATAAATATCACATTTTTGCTGTCATTACTCCACTTCCAGGCACACCCATGCAGACTGGAATATCTTTCCCAATTTCACGAAACATAGCTGAGGTGCCGAAGGATGTGAATTGGGAGATAGCTTTGTGGTGGTTTGTTAGGTGATTTTACTATGGTTTGTTAGATGATTTTACTGGGTTTGTTATATGGTTTCACTATGGTTTGTTAGAAGATGGTTTTACTAGGTTTGGTAGAAAATGGTTTCACTATGGTTTGTTAGATGGATTTGCTATTGTTTGTCATTAGATGGTTTTATCATGGATTGCCTGTTTTGTGTCTTTATGTGCTCCAGTTGTACATATGGGACATTGGGTCCTTAAAAACACTCCACAATCACCACTCCTGTTGCTTTGGTGCACATTACTGATTGCGCACATAGAGACCCACACTGATGGCGGCCGGATTGTCCGCTTCCTCCGCCTCAGGTAGCGATTGTCCCGCGTCACTGCCACCCTGCGTCCCCGATATTAAGACCCACACTGCTGGCGGCCGGATTGTCCGTTCCCTCCGCCTCAGGTAGCGATTGTCCCGCGTCACTGCCACCCTGCGTCCCCGATATAAAGACCCACTTGCGAACCATGCTCCTGGCCTGTTTGAATTACGATCTTTTCTCAACTTTCTCTTCAAATCGAGCGAATTTCAAATTTTATTGATCAAACAGGTTGTCTCCAAGCACGCTGTGAGTGTAACAGCACAACCTTTTGGGAATTAGGACAACGACATAGGTACAATGAGTGGCTGCGAGGAAACAAGCCCATTAAAACTGACTGGCCGACCGGACCGGACCCCAAGCACGCGGTGGCGCCCGGCAATGATGACGACGCTGGCTCTGCAACTTTTGGGTCGGTGTTTGTCTCACGACAACAGCTACACCAATATGTTCAAAGTTCACTAGGCACCCAGTCTGTGAAGATATTTGCAATAATGACGTCGCGGAACCGGCGATTTGGAGCTCTTTCGCGTATGGATATCGTGCCGGACCAGGCACGCTGATCACAGCGCTGCAGTTATCCGCAGCATGAAGTCGATAATCTGACAGGGACCTGCTGAATGTGTTTAGGATCGGTATTGGGTGTGCGACAGGGCCAATAACAGGGGTTTGGGGTTTCACGTGTTCAGATGAAGTGTTTGGGAGAGCTGCATCCTGGGATAACCAAGTAACGGACATGGGTTTCTTCGCCGTTTGCCGAATGCACCAGCACTATCGTCTATCGCGTTATCGTATCGTTGCTTCGCTGAGTGTTGACTAACCATGAATGAATGAATGAATGAATGACCTCCATGACATAGGTGGTTTCAGCACATTTATAAATGTGAACAACTTCGGTCTCCTTGCACTTTGGGACTCCTCCCTAGCAGCGCGCGCGGGCGAAGCGTCACCAGCGATCACTCTTCACCGCTGATGGCTGACGACGGTGCTAATGAAAGGCGAGATTGGGCCCACTCCCAGCCGACGTCACTCTCGGCTAAACGTTCAGCTCATTGTCCCAGGAGGACCGCGCTAATCAGCTCATTACGCCGTATCGACCCCGCTATCGGGGCCAATTACCACAGCTGTCAGTTGCACGTGTCCTGTAATTTCAGCCGCCGTCCGCCGGCCGGGTCACACACGAGTCTGCCGCGCTCCACGCCGGTCGGACGCGCCCCACGCTCGGGACTGCCCCGCGTTCACGTCCATCGCTCGGCACCATGTGGTGGCTGCTGCTGGCGGCGCTGGCCGCGCTTTTGCTGCTGCTGGCCGGCCGCCGGCTGCTGGCCGCCCTCTGGCCGCGCCGCTATGCGCTGGCCGGCCGCCATGTGCTGGTGACGGGCGGCTCGAGCGGCATCGGACGCAGCCTAGGCGCTGCTGGCGGCGCGGCACGGCGCGCACGTGACGCTGGTGGCGCGCGACGCGGCTCGGCTGGAGGCGGCGCGCGCCCGGCTGCTGGCGGCCACGCCGGGCGCGCGCGTCCTCTGCCTGCCTGTGGACGTAGCCGGCGATGCGGCGGCCGTGCGCAACGTTGTGGCGCGCGCCGAGCAGGAACTGGGGCCCATCCACCTGGCCGCCTGCTGCGCCGGCTTCGCCCTGGCGCAGCGCTTCGAAGAGATGCCGCTGGAGACGTACCGCCGGCTGATGGATGTCAACTACTTTGGCGTGGTGAATGTGCTGCACGCGGTGGTGCCGGCGATGAAGGCGCGGCGCGAGGGCCGGCTGGCGCTAGTGAGCTCGCTCGGCGGCGTGGTCGGCCTGTGGGGCTTCGCCGGCTACTGCGCCTCCAAGTACGCGCTGGTCGGGCTGGGCCAGACGCTGGCGCAGGAGCTGAAGCCGTACGGCGTGGGCGTGACGCTCTGCTACCCACCCGACACGGACACAGCCGGCTTCGAGGAGGAGAACCGCACCAAGCCGGAGGAGACGCGGCTCATCTGCGCCACGGCCGGGCTCTTCTCGCCGGACGAGGTGGCCGCTCAGCTGCTGCGCGACATGATGCGCGGAAACATTACCAGCACAGTGGGCTCGGAAGGCATGCTTATGACCACCGTCGGTCTGGGCATGGGTCCGGTCAGCTCGGCCGGCCAGTTAGCGCGCGAGGTGCTGCTCATGCCGTTGTTCCGCCTGGTCGTCGCCTTCTTCCACTACTCCTGGGACGGCATTGTGCGCGACTGCATGAACAAGCGCGACGAAAGCAAAAAGAGCGAGTGATGGCCGGGGCAGGGTCGACGCCGCTACGCAGGCCGGTTCTAGTCGCCAGTACGGCAGATGACCGCGTAACTTGTCACGTGCAACGGATGCCAGCCGCGAGCAAACTGGCGAACGCTTGTAGAAGCAGGACTTCTACGTCCACCACCGGGCCAAATGGCTTTTGTTGATTATGCACTTCCTTTGTTTGTATGCATCTATATGCCAGTATGAAGTGTGCAGCGATGCTTTTTGATATCTATGATTTGGTCGTTTGGGACATGATTATGTAACACTGCGCGTATGCGAGTGTGCGTCTTGTCATTCCGTCGCTCTTCGGGTTACACGACGTTATCTGCAATACTCTATAACACGAAATCAGGTAACTAACGGCGCACGTACTTGATCTGAGATGGTGAAATGGACTTGTTCCGAACGGTAACGGTCATAGCATAAATATATATTTTTTAAGTGTGCATGGTTTATGTTCATTGTCCGCCACGTTGCGGAAGCGAATCACGTGCGTCCCATGGCGTTTTACATCATATTACGCTGGGGCTGGTACGATACTGAAAAATACCGCCGTACAGTCGCCGTACTCCACGCCTTTCATGCGGTTCTCGTCAGTTGTATCGTAGCTCGCTCCGGGCACGTCAGCCTATTTTTATCATGAATGTCTTGACACTGACTTATTACTACGAATGCAACTGATTATTGCTACATTATTCTAGCAACCAACGAACATATATATATATATATATATATATATATATATATATATATATATATACACATACATACACTGCATAATTACGAAGGTTACTGGACAGTCATTTTCGCATGAAAAAATCCTTAGCTCGTCCCCATTTCTACAGCTAAGAACTACCACAGCTTATTACCGATCAAGTGCACGGGCCGGCCCAATACTGAATGCTGAGGAAGGAGACACGGTCCGGGCACCGCACCCATACATAACTCACTATCTAAAAACCAAGCCCGGGAGGAAAACGCACTTATTACACCGCTTTGGAAGGCAGGGAGTGAGGCCATAATCGCCCTGGCTTCTCCAGATCCGCAAATGAGTACCCACCATCCAACAAAGTCATGCCACAGATGACTACTGAACGTTGTGCCGCAGATAGGCAGCTACCACACAGGCCTTTTCGTGCATACCCCGCCGGAGGGGGGTGAGGCGTCACGTCCGGTGTCAGGTCCGCTCTGATTGGTCCCGAGCCCTGCCTGCGGGCACTCACCTCCCCTCAGTGACTCGTCCACGCCATCGGCTGCTTGTCCTCTGTCTATGCGGCCGATTGCTCGACACGCGCACAACAGCGCGTTGACGTTTCCAAAACAACATCCAAATTTGTAGTCACCCGACGCGTGTGGGGGGAAGGAGGCTGCGAGCATGGGGTGGAGGGCTGCTCCTGAAGGGCACAGGGCTCTCGGTGCGAGGCTCGGACTTAAGCTGCCGTTGCCCGGCGCTCAACAGGCGACTCGAGTGCGTGCCGCCGCAGGGGCCGCGAGACGCACGCACAGCGCCCGCAGGTCCTCAGAGGCGACGGAGGTCTCCTCCTCTGTCAGAGGTCGAGCCCGGAGCACTTACCGACCGGAGCGGCGGCCGGCGGGCCGGCCGAGGCCAGCCGCGCCAGCAGCAGGGCGGCCAGCACGCCCGCCCAGACCATGGCGTCCACTGGCGGTCGGCGCCGACCAGCGCCGACGGCCTGCCAGCGCGCGCGCGCGCGCTCACTCCGTCAGGGCCGGGCGGCGCCGCCGCTCCGTCGACACCGGTCGCCAACCGGCCTCCGGGCCGAGCGAGGGGCTACGGGCAGCGTGCCGGCACAGCGGGGCGGCACTGCGTATGGCCGCTCGCCGACTGTCGAGGCGTTCCGGCCGTCATGCTGCCCAGCCTGGCGGGAGCGACAGTGACACCACCTGGCGTAGACCCAGCACGGCTGAGCGGCTCGGTGCGTCCCGCATGACCTGACATGCCTCCCATAAAGCGAGTGTCGTGATCTCGTGCCGCGACACCAGTGACATCCGCACTCTGGCAGAATGAGCGGGAACTGTCCGTACCCGTTGACCAATGTGGTGACATCACGCGCCCATAAACAGCTGAACGCAGTAGCTAATACGCGTCTTGAGAACCGTGCAATTCACACACAACGGCGCGACCTGTGGGATGTTTATTCCTTGTACTCAACCATATGACACATGACCATGACCATGAAATCTATTCGCAGTCCCACTTGTCATAGGCGTTCTTCGTCCGCGGTGCCATGCCGGTCACTTTTCATCATCACGTTCGGCATACATCCCTGTGCCATTCATCACCATCATCTTAACCATGCATTTATATGTCATCCAAAAACGTCTGTTCAAGGCAAGCGCCGCAGTCACAAGAACACCCATGCGCAACTATACATACAAAATTGAAGGCATGAGCCTAAATGACGGTATGAAGCACACAGGCCATAGGAATGTCCGGACCCTATCACTTCCATCACTGCGAGCCATCCCCTCTCAGCACCTCACCCCTCATCCGCGAGCGATATACAACGACGATGCCAGCCGTTCACACTTGGCCCGGCGCATCGTTCCCTCGACAGTGGCACGGAATCTAGAAGCTCGGCGGAGCGACGGGCTAGTTACAGGTCGTTTAGATAGCCGACAGTCGCCATGAAGTCGCTTAGAGAGCCGACAGTCGCCATGAAGTCGCTTAAATAGCCGACAGTCGCCATGAAGTCGCTTAGATAGCCGACAGTCGCCATGAAGTCGCTTAGATAGCCGACAGTCGCCGTGAAGTCGCTCACAAACTCAGTCACATGTTTGACAATCCGTCTGTAGTTCGTCTCGCCTCTTTTGATGACAAGAAATCTGGCGAACAGAAATGTTCCTCTTCATTGCGATTGGGCAGGGACCGTTCCAGGTGTCTGCTCTTCGTCTTCGGGCGCCCATTTGCTAAATGTTTGGCAGTATTCCCGTGCCAGCGGGACCCAAGCCGTCGCGGCCTTCCTTGTTGCTGGCCGCTCTTAATTTGTCTTAAATTTTTGATTTCCTATTCTACGCCTCGACGTATTTTATACATTTTCTAAAAAGTCTGAAAGAATTTTGACTCTTTTAACCGTCTGTCTTTAAAAATGTTCACTGAACCGTGTGCACGCAAATGCATTGATTCTGTACAACTGAAAGTTAACGAGTTAATAGTTCACGCTTTAAAATGCATCAGTTCTACCGATCAATTATTAGCACCGAACTTCCATGCAAAACGGCATGGAGCAATCTCACGTTTATGTGAAGACATAGTTAAGATCAGTTTTAGATTTAAAAGTCTGCAATGAATAGATGCATTTCCTTGCTACTGACGGTCCATGCATTTGTGACGGCAACACGCAACCATCACTCAGTAATGTATGTATCAAGCAACCAGCGATTTGATGCATCGAAAACGCGGCATGGAACACCGCACAATGTATGCAAATTAAAAAGATATACCCAGGTAGTGAGGTTAAATGTATATTGCTTTACCAACATATGACAAGATGCAAACTAACCACAAGACAAAAGTCGTTTTCCAAGTAGCCTTACTATGGCAACGCCAATCGACACAACACAGAGCGGATGCACAGCCCCATACATGCCATCCGTTAAAACAAAACTTCGGCTGGCAGTCATGGCTCCTCGCACACTCGGTCCTCGGGCACCAAAGAAAGTCATGAGAACACTCGCCACTCGAACACTCGAGAACACAAGCCACAGCACTGGTGACCGGAGCACGTGCACCTGCAAGTGCACCGGCGCACACAATGAGCGACATCCGCTGGGAACATCCCGTACACGGAACGGCCGTCGCCTGTCACACGCCGACGCTGGGCGGCACGCCTGGCCAGAGACGAAGAGCGGCGCGGTCCGACCACTGGCCTGGTCCCGGCTCACTGGCTGGTCCACTGTCTCACTGCGGCGGCCTTGGCCCGCCGGCCGGATCCGGACCACTCCTCCGATCCGGATCGCGCCCGGGTCCGGGTCCGGCGCACCACCCCGGTCCGGGCGTCCGAGCGCCGTCGGAGGCGCCGCCCGCCGCCGCACACTCCCGCGCCGCGGAAGGGCGGCACGCGCACGGGCAGTCGGGCCGGCCCACAAGGCAGCCTGGCTGGCCCGAGCGCCACACAAAGCCGTCACTGCACACTGGGCCAGCGCACGGGCGGGACTTGACGCCAATCTCCACGGCATGGCACGGCACGGCACGGCACGGCACGGCACGGCACGGCACGGCGCGCCGGCTGGAACAGACGGCGTGCGTTGACGTTACGTGACGCCGGACCAGCCGCGGCGGCCGACCAGTAGTTTAATGCGCGTGCCAATGTAGGTGGCGGGCCTTTGGTTTCGGCCGCAACACGGTGGGCTTTTCCTCGACCAGCTCCCTTCCCAGGAGACGGCAGCAACTGTGGAGTCAATTGCTGACTGCTGTCGCGGGACTGCGCTGCACCAACCAGCACCCGCGGCAGGACGTTCACGGGCATGGTTCGTCTTCAAACCGACCCTCCGGTCCGTTGTTTTATCCGGGAGGACACTGCCTCGCTCTGGGTCACTAGATCAATCCTCTGACCACCGTGCTCAATGTAACGGGGAAGGCCCGCCACATACATACGTGCCACGGCGGCCAGCCCGACAACACGCGCATGACCCGGGCTATCTCGCCCGAGTGCCGGAAACAGAACCTCTGCTTTGTACACTGCGCGTGTGCTTGTGTCATGGGTACTAACTGGAAAGTTTCTAGCAGAAGCGAAAAGAAAAATACCAGAGGCCGCCGCCGGATACGCGAAAATAATAATGCAACAACTGCATGCACTGCTCATCACTCGCTGAGACTGTGTCGCCTGTGTTTATAGCTTGTTCATCATTGTACTTCATTCCTCGTAAAATTATGTTACCATTAGTGAAAAGAAATTCAAGCGCTGATGTTAATGCTAAGCGTTGCAATTTTAACCGAATAGTTTTGAAATACTCACGCTGGCGAGGGCTCAAGA